TGAGGATGAAGTGGTCATTGACGTTTTATAAGAACAAAAATGATAATCAGAAATTGGTCTAGAAAATGTTCCATAGCAGTTTTCTATTATAAGAAAGTCTTTTAAATCAGCAAAAATACACGAATCAATAAACAGTGTTTTTTATTTATATCTAATATCAACATTGTAGATTTTACTGATTCATATATTCAAAAGAATCTATGATACCATTGATTTCTGATTAGATAATAGAACATTTAAAGAAAGTACGTTTATCGTCATTAGTAAAATTTTGCACTTCTGTATTGATAAATTTGGATGATGGTTGAATTGATATCTTACACTATATTCATAAAGATAATTCAGACGAGTCAACTGATCCTTATCATCAAATTGTGGAAGTTGATCAGAAAGTTCGTGTTGCATCTTAATACAATTGAACCAGTTATGACAAAATTTGTCATACATGATTTGATCTCTTGAATAACGCATTGAATGAAGATGAAAAAAATAAAAACCATGTTGCACATGAGTTTCAACAAATTGTAATGAATAAGTATTGGTAAGATAAGTTAATTTAAGATAAATACGCTCGAGATTAAAATGTTCGACTGACGAACAATAACAAACAGCTCGAATTAAAGCTGATCGAATGCAATCACTGTCCTGCCATAAATATGGTCTCTCTTTTTTCCTTTAGTTTCATTCCATCACGCTTACAATCATTCCATTCTTCTTCTCATATCTATTCTATTTAAGTCAGTGTTAGTGTTTGAAGAAGGAGATTATTATTTCTTGTGATAGTGTAAAAAGAAGAAGATTATAATCGATTAACAACTAACATAACACAAGCAAGTGCTGATATCTCAAATTTACAAGTTCAACTAACTGCTTATTGGCCTCAAATTTTAGCCAGTGGAATAAATTCTACGATATCAACCGCAACAACAAATTCGAATCGTATTCGAGAGCCTGATGACAGATTAAAAAAGTTTATATTTAAATATATTCGAAATTGTACTCAACGTTTTAAACGAATGGCTAAATATAAAGCGTTAGAACGTTTTGGATGAATTGCTTCTCCAACTCAATGGAATACTCATTTAATTGTAAAACCAAAAATGAAATCATGGAGCACAAAAACAAAAATTATATAGCAACAACAAAACGTGTTGAGTATGATTTACCTCCAAAATTTATTTCAAATATTGATTTTTGCATTTACAATCGACTATACTCGTGAACAAGAAATACTTGCAAATGAAATAAAACATATTATTGTGGGTTTTCCGAAAGAAGAAAATATAATGAAATAATTGATGCTGAAGATGATTCAGGTTATCTTGAATTTAAACATTATAATGAATTACATGAAAAACGATATAATTTAGAAACTGAACAATCTCTTTGTTTTTTAGCAACGAAAAAGAAGAAGAAATAACCTATGTGTAAAAAGTCTTTGCACAAAATTCTATTTAGTCTTCCATTTCAATAGAGTAGTTTTATTTTTTCTTTTTCACAACAATAAGTAGCATCAACAATGATGTTTACAAAATCAAGAAGAACAAGCATGGTAAGGTCCTTTATCTGCAATTTTACGAAGTTGCTTCCGTATACCTGAAAACATTGATTGTACAACTTTCATATCAAGTTCTTTTTATTTTTTATTAATTCTTCTCTTCAATTGATCGATTGTTTCTGCTTCCCAGCCTCCTTCGTATACCATATCACTTAATATCGACCATAAAGTTTCAATAGGACGTGGCTGTGGACAGTTTTGAGGATTCCATTCTTTATGAACCATTTGCACCTCATTATCATCGAGATGATCCATCACCGTGTGGCTGTAATGGCTTGTAGCCAAATCAGGCCAAAATAATACTTTTTCTTTGGTATGAAACCTCTGGATGAATGGTATCAAACGTACTTTAATACAATTCCTAAAATATGTTTCCTGACTTACAGCTTGCTTTTGTTTGGAAAAGAATAGCTGTGAAACACTATTCTCAGGCACTGCAGCCCAAACTAAAACTTTTGGCTCAAACTTTTGAGTTCTTCTAAATTTTATTTCTGGTGATACAATACTTGGATCCGATGTATAAAGTCCACGATTACTTGGTACAGATTCATTGTGAAGCATGAAGTATTTTTCATCGTCCATTATCAATTCAGAATCATTTTTTGCCAGTAAACGATATAAACGACGAGCACGAGTTGGAATTTCTTCAAGTTGTTTATCGGAATATCTTTGGAGCTCGTTTTCTTTTATGATGATAGATATCCATGGCTTTCAACTGATTTGAAATTGTTTTATAACTAACTTTGAATTTGGAAGATAATCGACGTAACGATATACCTGTCTTGTTGTTCATAAGACGTTTTAGTCGTGCTAATTGATCAGTTGTTAGTTTTTTCGGACGACCAAATCTGGGTTTGCCCACGATGGCACCAGATTCTTCATACCTTTGAATAATGTAATATATTGTTCGCCTGGGTACTTTCTCTTGTAAAAAATGATTCGCAGTAATTTTCTTTTGCCTGTTCGCCACATTCATGTAATGTTGTGCAATGCGATTTTCAAACAGTCTCCTTCAGAACGTGTCATATCTACAAAACGAAACAATAATAAAACATAATTTACATCAAATTAAAGTTCTTCTAATGTGCTCTTGATAGATAAAAAAAGACTAGAAAGACAATCAGTACAATGCGAGAAACGTATATGTCAAATTTGTGCAAAGACTTTTTACACATAGGTTATATGACATGTACCATTTCGTGCAGTCTATCATTCTCATAGTCTGGATTCGAATCAATTAGTTGATTTTCAGTACTACGATCAAATTTAGCTATTTTTGTTTTCTTTTTAGTTATTTTTCATTAGGTTTTGTTTTTCGGTAAATCTTCTTCAAATTATTTTACTAAATCTAGACAATATAAGTGCATTGCTTTTATCTTCCATGGTATTATCAACATCGAAATAAACTTTCCATTTTAGAAAAAATTAAATATTTTTTCTCCTTCCCTGTTTATGAAGAATAGCTTCGACTCGAAATTCAAGTTCCGCGATTCATTTCTACGCGAACAATATTCAACAGAACGCTTTTTCCAGAAGGTATAAACCATTCTTAGCTTCCGTTCTTTTTTTCTTATTCTTACTATCTAAAATGAAACTTATGACATCTTCCCTCGCTGCTCCTTTAGATTTCTCTATCCTTTTCATTTATTAAGTCAAGGAAGTTACTGCCATTTTTAATAACCCACTGAATCTCAGAAACCATTGCTAATCTATGAATTGAACGGCTTTCAATGGTGGAAAGTGTAAAGGCAAGTGAAGTGTGGTGTCCTGGATCTACACAAGGGAAGTTGTTTATTACAACTTACCAAGAGGTAAATGATTTTTACTGATCAAATACATGTGCGATGACGAAACCGTGCGAATTGTTGGAAATAGTGATCTGCCAGAGCTACTGTTAAGAAGCATACTGTCTGGTGATTCTCTTTTCCTTAATAAGAGATGATGCCTATTCCTATGATGGTGAAACATATCGATTCTCCTGAAAAACGTCGAAAATAAAAATATGGAAATATAAAAATGTCGAATAAAAAATTCCTACTTTTAAAGATTACGTAAATGAGGCGTCGGACGAAAATATATGTTAAACACAAAGAGACATGGGACTAATGATCGATTGGTCCAATGCGACACTAGGGTGTGGGTGTGGACTGTGGGGGTATATAAGCAAGACACACATCCACACTCTCATCCTCATACCCACCCCACACCCACCCTAATATTTGGATTTTTATCAAATTCATGTAAAATGAAGAACGAAGGGTCCATTGTATTACAATTCAATGGGCGGCTGGTGCCACACGGAAAAAGAATATCCGTACATCCGTTATTCAACACTGTATAAATACGCTTTTTAATCGATACCATAAAAGTTTTATTAATGCATCTGATCTTCTTACTGGTTTATCGCACGTTGTTGCCAGAAAAGTTAAATAAAACTCATCCATTTAATATGAACTGATTTGCTTATGTTTTATTTGAAAATTTCATTTTTATCGAAAATATGATTTACTGCTTTAAATACTAAAATAAATTCTTAAAGTAGCATAACAACAATATCTTCTCTTCAGTTAGCTTCATACATCTTTCGACATTTATCCTTTCGACCAAATTCAGGTTAACCAACATATCATTCTCCGTTAAAAAAATATAAATGCTCAACAATGACGGATGGAACTAGAAAAACACAATCAGTGCTAGCATACACATAGTTCTGAAGAATCAGTTTGCAAAAAAGAAGCCTATTCGTTTATATTCTCCTGAGTTTATTGAATATTGAGAGTGCTGCTCATCGAAAAGTGATATTCAGGAAAACGTAATGTGGTTTTATAGTGTGTATAAACAGATCGTTGTCATTGGAAAAGATGACATCAGCAACCTATTCATCATCTTAATTTTCAAGAAAAGGGGAGTTTTAGAAAAACATGAGTTTGTCTTTTGCAACATGGTATTTGAATACACGTTATTTAGCATATACTCGTACAATCTATTGATAGTGCATTTTAATTTTAGAAAAGTGTCGCTCTGGCAGATCGATGTTATCATCAACCCGCACAATTTCGTCATCGCAACATGTATTTTATCAGTATAAATCATTTACCTCTTGATAAGTTGTAATGAGCAATGTTATTCGTGGAGATGCAGAGTACGAAATCATTTTTGTTTCTACTCTTTTCATACATGAAAGATTGGTTATTACAAACTTTCCAAGAGGTAAATGATCTCTACGGATATTATACATGTTACGATGAAGAAAATGTGCAGGTTGATCGCAACATCGACTTACCAGAGCAACACTTTCATTTATAAATCAAGAAAAATTGTGAGAGATTATGTTGAATAGAGAAACATTTGCGTGACAAAAACTCGACTGTTAATGTGCACTGATGTATGAAGTCAATAGACTCAATGTTTCATTCACAAGAAGGAACGATGATGTGATTTTCTCATAACATGGCTTTTTATAATCACCAGAAAAAGAAATCATGTATCCAGATGAAAAGATGTCATTTAAGCTTTTCTGATGCTAAATCACATACTATATCGTACGAATAGTTTAGATCAATCAACTTGAGGGTGTAAGTGTTCTGAACGGCAATATTCATCCTAATTGCATATTAAATTTCTTTCGAAAACATCAGCAATTTATTAATATTAAAAACGTGATTGATATTATATATAAAACAAACAAAATTGGTGTTTCGTTTCAATGAACTGCAAAAACAAAAATAAACAATCAACTTGTTGACTAGTACCTCAAAATCATGAAACATTTCACTATCAAATAGTAATTTACTTTCAGTCGCAAAAAAACTCATGCAACCAACCACTTAAACTTCCTCATTATCGTTTTCGTAGAGAATCCAATGTTGTAACTTTCAAAAAGACTACAGATTTACATATTTTCTCTGTGACGAGATATTTGTAAAATAACTAATATCGCCATGACTACGAATCATCTGGAATTGTGATTTTTTTTCTGGTCAGATCCATTGGTTGTTCTAACATAACATTTATTTTTGCCTTTTACCTTGATTTCTTTTCTTTTTATATCATAATATGGTGATCACGGTAACGATTATGTCATTAAGAAAATAGGGACATATGTTTAAGATTATCTTTCATTGATATCATGTAGATGAGGGTCTACTTTGAATTTTTTTGAATTTTTGTTCAAAACCTTCAATAGATCAAACGTGATTCAATGGCTATTTTCTTTTATATTCATAGAAAACCTCGCCATTTTTTTGGCAAGCTAGTCGATCTATTACCTGCACGCAAATAATGATTCGCTTGAGCTGTTTATATTGATGTTCTACTCAACAGTATAATTTTGAGATAAGTATGTATATACAACGACCTTCATTGACAACTTGGTTGATTAAGAACAAAAAACTATTTTGTTTTCATATTTCTTCACACCAAACGTATTACTTTCATTTTTTCCCCTTTACACGGAATCATCCTTGCAAGAATATAGACTGAAGGAGTCGAACATGTACTAAACATGAAAAATATCACCTCTCATATCAGCGCGCATCGTTGAATTTATAACAAAACTTGAGAAGAATCATCCGATTTATCACTTGTTTTTCATAATTATCTTATTCATAAATACATTTAATACAGATCATTACACATATTTCTTAATATTTCGAAGGTTACAATAATGGATAAGTTTTATTTCAATTATCGAAATGAAAAAGATGTTTCTCCCCGGTCTGGTCTACTCAAAGTACAAAAATCGGTTGAAACTCTTCAGCAAACTCACACTCCACCAGGATCATCACAGTTGGTTCGTCTTTCAAATCTTAAAAATTCTATCAACGATAAAGATCCAAAAACAATGTCAAAATCAGAATTGAAGAAGTTGCTCAACAGTGTTTCACAAGCATTTAACCAAGTGAATGATAAAAATAAAGAAGAAACTTTACCAATTATTGCTAAATGCATTATAAAAATTAGTGGTGTACAAGAGTCAGCCCTATTATCTGTTTTACAGCATCCTTTTGTTTCTTCGCTTCAAGCTCCATTCATTGATTTACTTCATCGTTGGCGAAATTCTTCTTCTATATCTAATGGTGAAGCTGTAGCGTTTCTTGCTGTAGTTAAGCTGATCAAAAAATTAGTCAAATATACAGATGATACCAGAGTGCTTCCATCATGGTTGTTCGATTCAACATTTCTTCATACAATTGCCGATTGTCTCACCGATATTGCCACATCACGAAAATATTTTGATGAAAAACATTTTTTTTCGTTAAAACGTTTCACACGTTTAATTAGAGTATATACTCATTGTCAACTACGATGGAATGATCATAATGATAATGATAAAGATAAACTTGTGATTCTACTGGGTCCTATTATTCAGCGTCTCACTTCATCGCGTTATGCTCATATTTTCACAAATACATCAAAAAATACAACGAAAATGACAATTATCGAAAAATTTTACCTGCTTAGATGTCCATCATTTCTCATTTCATACAACGGTAACTAAACTTAACAGGTTTCTATATAGATAAAAATCGTTTATATATTGCTTACAGGTTCTTGTCTCGAAGAAACTATGGAAGATTTACTTGCAACAATGTTACCTAAATATATAACAATTTTAAATAAGATAGTTCCTTTAGTAAACGATTGGAAACGACCAATGATTCAAGCAGTAAATTATTTATTGAAAATAATAGATCATGGTGCAGATAGATTTCCAAAAACTGCTAAACTTGTTAGCGGTAATCTAAAATTAATTGATCATGTATTGGCATTGGTCAATGAGCCCCTATTCTACGATAATCTGCAGAAAAAATCGAGTATAGAGACGAATTTTATGAATACAGCGCTTGATTTTCTGGTAAATATGAGAAGTGACCCAGCAATTCTTGCTCATATGAAACAAGCTTTGTCAGCACCTATATTTCTTCGTTTAACATCATGCGAACATAAATCATTAGCACTTCATGCTAACAATCTTCTTGCGTATACAATGCATGAAGAAGATATCAAAGCAATGCCTAATCCTGGTCTATTACTGAAAAATAATATTAAAATACTTAAAACTACAATAAATAAAAAGTCTGATGATCATAGCAACACTGAACAGCAATTAGAAACTTTAAAAGGTAATTAACTTTACATTTACTAGTTTTTAGACGAATGATTATGAGGAAAATGATTAGTTTTCGACAAAGCCGATCAACCTATGATTGAGTAAAGCTTATTTTTTATTTGTTACTCGTCATTTATAAAACAGTAAATTGATTGTCGAAGTTTTATAGATATGCTATCAACAACTTGTTCATATAGAGAATCTAGTTCTTTTACATAATCTGATGTTGCATGGATTTATAATATGCAATACATTTTAGAGTGTTACTTAGGGGTGGGCCATTAACATTAATTTTATATTAATGTTAATGTTTCTCATTAACCATTAATATTAATGCTTAATGTTTTCTGAGAAAAACTTAATTCATTAATATTAATGATTAATGAAAAACATTAACATTAATTTTAAATTTAATGTTAATGTTTTTCATTAATCATTAATATTAATGAATNTTTCGGAGAAAACATTAGCTATTAAGATCAGTTAATTGATTAATAATTGTAGATAATGTTTCCTTAGAAAAGCCTAATTCAGTAATATGGAAAAATTAATGTTTTCATGAAAACATTAACATTAATATTAATGAATTAAGTTTTTCTTAGAAAACATTAACCATTAAGATTAATGGCTAATGAAAGTCATTAGTTAATGTCATTAATTAAGTTCCGTTAAAAAAAATGGTCCACCCCTAGTGTTACTTGATGCCTGCCAAACTAATCGTATTGTTCCTCATCACCACTTAAACAATACTAATAAATAGAATCGTATTATTCAGGTCTTATTCAACATGATCAAATAAGAGATGAACTTGTGAAACAAAATGATATTCCATTTCTTCTCAAATGTGCTGACACGTTAACCGGCAAATCATATGCATTAGTGCTAGAAATCTTATGGTCTTTGTCATTTCGCGACGAATGCGCAGCAGCACTACGCTCCAATTCAAAGTTTCTTAAACATATTGAAACCGTTTCGAAAACCACAGACGATGAACAAATAAAAAAATCAATTGAAGGACTTACCTGGGTACTTGTAGAAAGTATTTGACAAAAAAAAAGAAAGTTTACCTAAAAATATCAATCGATATGTTTCTCTTCTTTATATTTCAGACCCGGTAATGTTGGAGAGAAGAGCGAAAAGAGAATCCGAAGAAAAAAATGAAGCGACTCCAGAGATGATAACAGTTACGGAGGAAATCGTGAAAAGCGATGGTACAAAAGAACTTCTAACAGTTACTAAACCCGCTCCGCAAGCTAATCGTGAACGAAAATTTCAATATGATATTATGATCTCGTACTGTCATGCTGATAAAGAACTAATTTGTAAGATACATAAATTTCTTCTTGCTGAAGGTTTTCTCGTATGGATCGATTTGAATAACATGTTTGGACCAGGTAAACTATTTCTCATTGATTCATACGAATCTATTGTGAATCTTAATTTTCAGCCATGAGTGCGATGGCTGATGCAGTTGAAAATTCAGAATTCGTTCTAGTTTGTATGTCGGATTCTTACAAGCAAAGTACATATTGTCAAGCTGAAGCAGAATATGCATTCAGTTGTAAACGACGTTTAGTGCCATTGAAAGTAAGACCAAGATATAGAGCAGATGGATGGTTAGGATTTATGATTGGATCAAGAATATATATTGACTTTGGTGCATTGGATTTTGAAACAGCTTGCAAAAAACTAATAGCAGAAATCGCTCGTCAATCACAAAGACCTCTTCCATCGAAAGCAGCAGCTGCAGCTCAACCAAAAATACCTATTGAAGCAGTTCGTGTCGAACCAGAAATGTCTGTAGTTTGTGTAGAAAAAAAACTTGAGCTCAGTGAAAAAGGTTCCCTTGCTGCATATAAGAATCGAAAGCCGGCATCTGATTTTATAAAAATACCTATGAACCAATGGAGAGAATCGGACGTATTGGATTTTCTTTTTACACAAAAATTTATTGAATTAATGCCATTGTGTGAAATGTTCAATGGTAGATCACTTATAAAATTATACAGGATGTGTAAAACTCAAAGCGGTCAAACATTTACTTTTCTGAATGATGAGTTGAAATCAACGTACAAAACGAAATTACCTTTTGGAATCTATGTCCGATTTGTAAGTGCAATGGAGCAAACTTTGGCCACGCAAACACCACACCCAGTAAAAAAAACATCTATTAAAAATGTTCCTCCTGGTCCATATGAGGAAGCGTCATCACAAATAGTTTACGATTATGCTCCATCGATATCTTCTGCACCTTTTGATCTTGTAATTACTTCTAGTGCTTCAAGTATGGATATTTTAAGAGCTGTAGAACAGTATGGTCCGAATTTGAAGAGACTGTTAAACGTTTGAATGCAAACTTGAGGCTTAGCTCAAAGCAAAGCGTCTTTTTTTAATTCTTATTTTAAAATAAACTTGTGATTATTTACGTTTGTCTCTTCGTCAAATACCGTTGATTTTTTATTCTTAAAAGTTTATTTTAGCAAGAAAGTGTTTTTATCTTTATTTAGCTCTTTCTTCATACTTTTCAAATTAATCAACACATTTTAATCACTGCCTGAATTAAAATATAAAATATTGTCTGGACAGGTCTTTATAACCAACAAACTATTTCTGATGATTGCATTTTCTTAAGAAATTTTCTCAGTGTAGTCAGCTTTTTGTGTGAAATCTATAGTACATTCTATTTATAGTAGCAATAATCATCAAAGCCTGGTAAGCATGTTTGGAATGCAATCACTGTTTGATGTTGATTTATTTGTGCGACTGAACATGTGATTGACACATTCTATTGTCATTTAACTTGCCAAATGGTATCTATCTCATGAGAAAGAAATGAAAAGAAAAGAGAAGAGAAGCAAAGATAATTTTCGTTTTTTATCTCGTATTGTTAATTATAATATACTCTTTCATTTGTGCCTTGCTATGATATTTTTTTTCTCTCGGTAACTACTCTAACAAACGTGTTTGACGCATCGATGAAGTCATTCTTCATAATTTTGTTTGTCACATAAAACGCATTGGTTCACCTTGAAAAAACGATATTTTTCATATTAGCACTTTTCTATACCACGAAAGCACTATTTTGCCTTGAAAAACATATTTTCGTTCTATTATTTTATCGTACCTGTGAAAAAACTGTTAGCGTAATCCCTGTGGGATTAAAATGTGAAACACGATGAAGCTCCATCCCTGGAATCCGCCCATCACGGTCAGTGATGATCTACGGGGCTTTTCTGCTACGACCTGTATTATAATGTATGGAGTCTCTAGAAACCATCACAGACCGTTACAGACAAGGGGGAAGTGCAGGTTTGAAACATCAGCACCTCTTCTATAGTGAGATTTACTTCAGTCGTATGGAAATGAATCGGGAAATCTACCTTCATTCTCTATAGTAGAGGTGAATTTTTTCTTGAATTATTCACAGAATCTGAATGAGAATTATTTCAGAATAGAAACGCCAACAGAAAAAGAAAAACATCCTTCGAAAGTAACCGTATATCATCCACGGAAAAATATTTAAGTAGATACCGCTGTTAGACGCGGCTTTTTGATAATGACCGCGGTTATATCTTTGGAAACCGCGGTGTGCGAAATAAACCGCATTTTATCGCGGTATGTCATACCGCAATATAGGTTTACCGCGGTATGCTCTAACGAAACCGTCATGTAGTAACCACTGGAAGTCGCGGTTTGAAAAAAAACTCGGTGATATGTATATTATTTGCGGTATTCGAGAACCACTATCTTTCGCGATATTATATCTTGCGACCTTGTTATTACGAATCGCGATCTCCATACATTATTTCCAAAGATATCATTATTCAGAAGAATATAGTCCTAGTATATTCTGAGATATTTTATGTAATTGTTGTCATAATGAGATATCGCAACAATTTTGATACATATAG